CCAGAAAGACAGAGAGACAGAAAGCGAGAAATCACCCCCCAGGGGCAATGGCCACTCTACAATCACTTCTCCTCATTCTCCTCTCGGGATCTTGGGCACGCATGCACATGCGCCCGGTGTGAGTTTAAGCCACCAGGTCCGGGACTCGAACCACAGTCGACTACATGGGAGTCCAGTGGTGTAGCCATTATGCCATCTGCTGTTCCCAACTGCATTTTACTGGTGAGGAAGCCAAGGCACAGTGAAGTTAAATAATGTGCCTAAGGACTCAGAACTGGGAAGTGGCAGAGCTGGGATTTGAATGCGAGAGCTCTGTTTCTGATTCTGGGCTGTTACAACCACCTGCTATGACCAATACAAAGGAATTGAGAATTTATAGATGACCTATCTCTACATTAAAAAATAACCCTGGATTGGCCATATTGTCTAGTGGTTAAGGGAGAGCCCACATGGATGACTGTAGTTTGAATCCTGGCCCTCACGACTTGAAAAACATGCTGGGTATGGGCGCTTGTGTGCCCCAGATCCTGATGGGATGGAGAAATGACGAGAAGGGATTGTGGTGTGACCACGCCCATTAGGGCTTGCTTTCCCTTTCTCTCTCTCTCTCTCTCTCTGTCTTTGATGAGTACATGCGTCCTTGGCAATTAAAGGAAAAATACTGTTGCTTGAAATTGAGTTACCTGAAAACATTAAAATGGTAGGAAATCTATCGAGGTATTATTTATCGGACATTGCTGGGGATAGAGGCCTTGCATGTTGAGGGAATGTTCCTGGTAATTGAAACATAGTTCTTCAAATGTCAATCCCTGGTATTTCTGATTTTGAAGTTTAGTTATCTCAAAGTATTTTAGACATTTGTTTAAGATAACCACTTTGATGTACATCTCTAAATTTGATGTAATTTACTCATTTCTTAGTAATGTAAACTTCACCACTTTGACCAGAAATCAGTGTGTGTTGCATGCAGCTGAAACTCTCAGTTCCTAAAACTGTGCTTGCCTCCAGTTCTACCCACCCTAGTCTCTTTCAGGACAGATCTTTTAAAACCTGTAGAGTGAAACAAGCCAGTAATGTCATAAAGGCTAAGAAGAAAAAGTGTAGACTTTTTATTTTATTTAGGGATTTCTTTTTTCCTCTTCATTCTTTTTAATTTTTTTTTTTTAAATCAAATCTGGACGTATTTCACCTCCCTTCTCTTTCAGTTTAGAGCCAAGTAGGGAAAATACACTACGTTAAGATTTCTATTATAAAGTAATACCTAATGGACATTATGTGGTCAAGGAAAGTAGAAATTTCAGCATGTTAACCGTCTACTAAAGAAAGTAAATTTATGGAGCAGTGAGGAATAATTGGCCACTTTTTGAATTTAGAAGTCTTTTTTGCTTAACATTTTGATAAAGTAAACTGAACACTGAGTTTCATGCAGCTAAATATGGGCAGTGTAGAGTGGAACAGTCTTCATTTATTATCATATTTCCATTGGAGACTCATTGTGTCCTCCTTAAAAGGAATTAGCCTTTCCAGAGTTGTTGGGGGTAGCTGCAGTGAGCACGGGGTGGGGGTGGGTAGCTGCAGTGAGTACGTTGTCATGCTGAGTGTTGCTCCCTGGGACTGCGGCCTTGCACTCGGGCATTGTCCAGATGCAGACTGGGAGCTGCGCCTGCTTTCTTTCCCTTGAGCTGTGGGTGGCAACCCTGCCGTTTCTCCAGGGACCTGTTCCTAGGCAGCATTCCCACATCTCTGCCCGGTTGATCACAGAAACAAAGGAGCACATCTCCATCAGGGGGAGGCTCTTCCTCGCATCTGCACACTCTCTTCATCACTCTCTATTTCCCCCCTCACTCCCAGCATTTCCCAGGTGCTTATAGTAACCTCTCCTCTCTCAGCCCACTTTGGTCTACTTGTCAGCTCCTTCCCTCCTCTCCCCCACCCCAGGAAAAAAGTTTTTTTAGTGGTCGTCAGATGTAGAAATAGTTGTAGCGATATAACCAACATAAGAAGTAGGAAGGCCAGCAGTTTCAGGGTGATAAGAAACAAAATGAAGGGGTCAGCAGGTCGCATGGTGGTTAAGGCACTGGGCTCCCACATGACTGACCATGGTTTGAGCTCTGGACCTGGTGGCTTGAAAATCAGGCCGGACATGTGGCGTGCGTGCCCAAACTCCCGAGAGGAGAATGGAAGAGAAAGGATTCCCATGTGGCCATGCCCCCTGGGGGATACTTCCTTTCTTACTTTTCTTCTTTCTTTCTCTCCCTGACTTTTTCTGTTTTTCTCTATCTCTGGCAAGCACACATACCCTATGGGAAAAAAAAAGAAAAGAAATAAAAGAAAAGAAACAAAATGAAGAACAAAGAGGACCTATCCTTTACACCAACAGAACTTCCTTTAGAATCTCTCTAAAACTCTCCATCTTCACTGCATATTTTCTAAGGGTCACTGTAATTAAAAAAATCTGTCATTCTGCTATCACTGTCTTTTATTAGATACATTCTTATTGCATGTTAATGCTCAAGATCAAGAAAAAAATCATTCATGATCTCTTAGGATTAATTTATTTAAAGAGTATTTTCTACTCTTTCTTTGTTATATTGCCATAGGCACGTACACTGACCAAGACAGGGAAGGCACCCTCCAGCGGAGTGGGGTCATGCTGAAGTCCCTTCTCTCCCATTTCTCCATCTGTTGAGATTTTGGGCACCCATGTACACATGCCCAGCATGTTTCTCAGGCCAGGGCCAGGATTTGAACCACGGTCACATGTGAGCTCCAGCTCCTTTAACTACTAGGCAGTGGGACTGACTCGTTTCTTTAGTTTTTACTGTACTGACAAAATGTTAAGGGATGTGGTTAACAGGCTCTGCCAGTTCATCCTGGAATTTAGTATAACTTGTAACTTTTGTTTAGGGAAATACGCTCTAAGTTCTTAATAAAGTAGTTCCAAGACTGTGATTCCCCTTTGATTTTTTTTTCTTTTTTTTTTACAATAACAACAAAAAAGAAGTGGAAGAACCTACTTTGTAACAGGCTGTGGCTATGGGAAGATGAATGACTCCTTGGTCAGCGGGGAGGAAAGAAATGTACACAGACAGGATACCAGAGTTCACTGCCCACTGGGGACTGCATGGCAGAGGCTAAGTGGGGCGATGGGAGGCGGAGCCCCTGCCAAGAGCTGGGGAGGTGGCCTTTCAGTACGACCAGGTGGCCATGCTTAGTCTGGCTTCCCCTGTGGGTCACCTATGATCCTGCAAAGCCTTCCTAAGTGGCATTTCATCAGATGCTCCAAGAAATGGGTTTTTACTTAACTGGGTGTAAATTTCAAACAACTTTGGCATAACAAAGAAATATATAAATTCAGTCTTTAAGAGTTCACAACAGGGCTGAGATAGTGCTGTGTATGGGGAGGCAGGTCTCACATGGCTGACTGTGTTTTGAATTGTAGCCCCAATGACTTGAATAGCATCAGGCCTGTGTCTGAAATCCTGATGGAATGCACAAATGGAGTAGAGGGATTGTGGCATGACCAAGGGCCTACTGGGGGTATTTTCTCTCCCTCTGTCTTTTTCTTTCTTTCTCTCTTTCAGGTTTATCCTCAAGCAAAAAAAAAAAAAAAAAAAGAAGGAAAACTGGGAAGGCTGCTTTTACTAAATAAAACAAGCCAGTTGTTAAACAACATAAAAAAAAGTTGACAAGGGAACTGGCAGTTAGCGTAATGGCTGTCGCTGGACTCCCATGTAGTCGACCGTGGTTCGTGTCCCGGACCCGGTGGCTTAAAACTCACGCCGGGCGCGTGTGCGTGCGTGCCCAAGATCCCGAGAGGAGAATGGAGGAGAAGGGATTGCGGCGTGACCATCCCCCCTGGGGGGTGATTTCTCGCTTTCTGTCTCTATGTCTGTCTCTGTCTGTCTGGCGAGCGCATGCGCCCTACAGTGAAAATCTCTCAAAAAAAAAAAAAAAAGTTGACAATAAAAAATGAATTACTCCCTCCTATCTAGATTATATAAATTGAGCAGCCCTGTTCACATCACTAAATTATAACAATTACTCAGAGCACAATTACATATGGTATATTGTAACCAACTAGAAGGTGGTGTGGAGATAAAGCTACCAACTGCAGCACAGTGTAGACTGGCTGTAGTAATTTTGAAACCACTGTGAAATACAGATGTGCTGGGGTTGGCTTTACCTTTCTGTTCCTCCCAGGCTCCTCAGTGGCTGGAAAGTGATTCTTGTCAGAAATGTGAGCAGCCCTTTTTCTGGAATATAAAGCAGATGTGGGACACAAAGACACTGGGATTGAGACAGGTGAGTGACTGTCACTGACGCATCACTGGGTTGATGCTATTTCATTATTTGTATAGTTAATTTCTCCTTTTTTTGTTGTTGTTGTTCTCGTTATTTTGAATCTCAGTTTCTGCAAATGCTATTAATTCCAGTATTTTTTGTTATTACAACCATGTGTGACTAAAAATGAGCAGGAACTTCCCAGGGCCAGCAAAATGCCAACCTAACTGTTCATCATTCTTCCTGCCCTGAAAAGGCAGGGATGAGTGGAAAGTTCTTTTTTTTTTGGGGGGGGGGAGGGGGGAGAGGTTTTTGCTATAGTGTGCATGTGCTTGCTAGAAAGACAGAGAGACACAGAGAGACAGAAAGCAAGAAATCACCCCCCAGGGGGGATGGCCACACCGCAGTCCCTTCTCCTCCATTCTCCTCTCCAGATCTTGGGCACACACACACACATGCCCGACGTGAATTTAAGCCACAGATCCGGGATTCGAACCACAGTGGACTACATGGGAGTCCAGTGACATATCCATTACGCCAACTGCTGGTCCGTGGGATGGGTGAAAAGTTCCAAGAGCCCATTTAAAAATAGGCAGGAGAGCTTTCAGTTTAGGACAAGTACTTACTAAAGTCAGTGTTTCCTACCAGCTGAGGACAGCACTAGAGTAAATTAGGGCATATGATTATACGCCTTTTGTCATTATAGACAGGTAAGAAGTAGCCATTTCTTTCTCACTAGAATACTCGGTAGTCTAGAATATTCTAACTGGTGCTATTTTAAGACTAGAATACTCGGTAGTCTAGAATATTCTAAATTGTGCTATTTAAAATACACTTGAAATGTTTTCATTGAACGTGTTTTGAGTACTGTTTTTTTGTTTTTTAAATTAAAAAATATGTCCCAAATAACCCATAGATTGTAAAGATGGTTAAAAAAAAATGAATGCAGAGTTCATTCCTTGTATTACCTGTTGCACCTGTGTGGGGGATTAGCCTTAAGCTTAGAATGTTCATGATCTTTCTTTGATTTGACTTACAAAGCTACTTTGCAATAAGGTCTAATATGAGATTGGTAGACAACCCGAGAGTTATTGTAGTGCTGATAACACTCTAACGCTCTGAAATAGCACCTGGATGCTGCCATTTGCCGAGTTCTTGCAGTGCACATCTAGCCGTAACTAGCACATGAAAATTACAGGTGAAGTGTCCCATCCTTATAAAGGAAATATGAAACAGTGAATTTTACCCTTCTCTGTTAGCAGCTAATAGAAGAGAAAAGGTGCTCGTCACTAAACTTGAAGTAGTAAAAGAAATATGTCAGAATCAGTAATAATAATCAGACTATTCGGGAATGTTTTTGAGGCTTAACTTGAGACAGAAAGAAATAGCAAAACGGGGCCAGCAGGTGGCGTAGTAGTTAAGGCACTGGGCTCCCCATGGCCAATGGCGATTCATGTCCCAAACCAGAGGCTTTGAAACACATGCCAGGCGCATGTGCACGTGTGCCCAAAATCCCAAGAGGGGAATGGAGAAGGGACTGTGATGTGGCCACCCCCAGGGATGATTTCCCACTTCCTTTCCTCTCTCTGGTGAATGCACATGCTCTATAGCAAAACCCTCCCTTAAAAAAAAAAAAAGAAAAAAGAAATGGCAAAATATATTATGAATACTAGTTTCTTAATGAGGGCGCATTACATTTAAAACTCATTTTAAAACTTTTCTTTGATGTAGATGTTTACTTCCTGAAATCTGTAGTCATCAGGCTTCTAAATGAAGTTGAACTTGGTTGTTGTTTGTCTAATACAAATGAGTGAAAAGCAGTATTTCACCAAAGTGGTTTGGAAATCCTTGACTAGTATGGAAATTATCTTTTGAGTGTTAACACATTGAATTGAGGTGGTTATGATTGAAAGCCAATGTTCCCCACTCCTACACTCCTACCCTAAAGGGAAACCGTGTACATTAAAGCAAAGGCTAAGATCCTGTTTTCTTCCTCTGGGTGGCCCTCGAAGCATCACTGCAGAAAATGTGGGCAGGCCGTCTGCGGGAAGTGCAGCAGCAAGCGCTCAAGTTACCCGGTCATGGGCTTTGAGTTCCAAGTCCGGGTCTGTGATTCCTGTTACGACTCCATCAAAGACGAAGAGTGAGTGTCCGCATGGCTTCGGCTCATTGCATGTTGCTAATCTGGCCTACATATCTCAAGTGTGCAGAGCCTGAGAAGTGGTGTGGTTGTTTCTACCCACGCGTTTGTCCCTTTGAATTTCATGAACCGTTTCTAAAGAGAGGATTCTGTCCTAGCTTTATGACTTCAGACCGCTGCTGTTTATGTCAGGCTGCATGTCGCTGACCAGTACGGATTTCTCCTGAACCCTGTGAGGAATACTCAGACCAGTCCAGCAACTCAGTGGACATTGCCAAGCCCTCTTGCGCCGCAGGTGTCTGTGCAGGGACAAGTCCACGCACGTGTGGGTGGCAGTGATCGAGCTTGCCCAACCTTTGCTCATTTATTTACAACAGAACTTTGAAAAGTTGGTGGAAGAATTGAGTAAAAATGCAAGTTTATTTTGGTGCAAAAATAACTTTGAAATCCATGCATAGTTTTTTTTTTATTTAATTTTTAATTTATTTATTATTACTATTTTTAATTTGCTATGGAGATACATGCTCACCAGAGAAAGACAGAGAGAGAAAGGGAAAGTAAGGAAGCAAACTGCAAGGTCTGGGACTCTAACCACCGTCGGCTGTGTACAAGTCCAGCACCTTAACTACCATGTCACCTGCTGGCTCCACAGGTTTTTTTATAATATGCATTTTCCCTAAACTTTTTTTTGAGGACTCTCATTTGTAAATTCAATTATGAGGCAAACTCTAGAGACCAATCTTCTGTCTTCTGCAAGATTCTGACCTAGCAGTCTGTTATTAACTATTTGTATGGAAGACTCATCTGTCTGTATGACCCCTTCTGCCCCAATGCAGGCACTCAACCACTCTTTTTCTTTCCCTTCTCTTTGAGACATCCTTTAAAGTATGAGAGTAGAAGCCTAGGCAAAGGCCCAATTTAGAAAGCTGGTGCGGCACCCTGGAGTTGGTAAGTGAACTCATGATGGGGGCAAGGCCTACCGGGGCTCAGAGCCAGGTTAGAGCCAGCGCTATCAGAGTACAGCTCCTGGGAGTGGCAGCGAGGCTTCCAGGGGTCCTACTGATGTGACCCATGCCATGTGTAGTTCTGCTTTTCTGTATTAAAGGTTCTTGATTAGGAACGTATTAGCCTTTCCAGAAGCAAACCAACCAACAAAAAACCAGTTGTTGGAGAAGTTTAGAAAACCTTTGGTAAGATAGTCTTGCAATTTATCCTGCTTTCTATCATCTTTTAATTATAAAGTTACTGGGACAAGCAGATGGTGTGATGGTTATGTCGCTGGACTCCCACATAGTCAACTGGAGTTCTAGTCTCAGACCCAGCAACTTAAACTTATGCCAGTTGCATGTACATGTGTGCCCAAAATCCTGAGAGGAGAATGGAGTAGAAGGGATTGCAGTGTGGCCATCCCCCTACACTGCAGTGATTTCTTGCATTTTTCTCTCTGTCTCTCCAGCAAGCGTACATGCCCTATAGCAAAAATCTCTCAAAAAAAAGTCATAAAGTTAATTTTCCAAACTGTAGAAAAAACTTTTTTTTTTGTATTTGTTTTAGCAGCAAATTTTAACACTATTCCTGTGAGTATATTGTGGTTGCCAGAAAAATAAAACAACACACATTATCCCTTAGCTTCAAGTACGGTTGGGAGATTTTAAGGGATCTCTTCTCTTCACTAGTCGGACTTCTCTAGCAACCTTTCATGAAGGCAAACACAACATCTCCCACATGTCCATGGATGTCGCTAGGGGACTGATGGTGACCTGTGGGACCGACCGTGTTGTAAAGGTAACTGGCCTACCTCTCAATTAGCATCTCAGTTTGAATTGTTCCAGCATCACGCTACTAATGGGCTTAAGACATCTCCGTACAGTCACCCTTCCAGACTGGCACACTTGCCACCCCTTTTATAAGCAGCCTTTTGCTGGGTCAGACCCTGTCAAACAAAATCAGCCTTGTGAGTTTTCAGGCCCATGGTGGCAGTTAGTCCCAGTGGTTTCCCTTTGCCAAGTCTCCGTGGCAGGGTTTCTGGTGAGAGCTTGGTGCCACGTGGCTTCCTGTGGGTGCCTAGTTGGGCCCAGGAGTTCTCCCTGCACTGGCCTGGGTCAGCCCTCCTGTCTGGGCATCCCTTCCCTGCTAATGTTCTTTTTCATCCTGGTCAGCAGGTGTCTGACTATAAAGAATAGCCACACGTTTTTCCTTATTAAGTGCCTGGGTCACTAACGTAGAATTCCAAAGTAAGTGTTTTATACTTAGGATTACTCGAGTTGTAAAATTGTGAACTATTTAATATCCCTAGTAGACTGTTTCTTCAAATTAAAGTTATAGTAAACATTATTATGATGTAATTTTTAGGTGTTTTGGGGAGCTCCATTGTTTTCTCTATGTGAATCTTATGGAGGCTTTGTAGTGAGAGAGGAGAACTAGGGAGCTTGTCTTTTTTCCCTAGCAGCTTGCTGGTCAGTGCCTCCTGCCCATACATCTCATTTCCCTTACAGATCTGGGACATGACTCCTGTGGTGGGCTGCAGTCTGGCAACTGGGTTTTCTCCACATTGATCCAGAGCTGGCGTGTCTACATCCTGCGAACAGCGGCCTCCACCAAATGAAATCCTTCCTGTGTAGCTCCACACTCACTGTCACACGAATGGACAGTAGCCACTTAAAAAAACAAATCAACATTATCAAAATGTCACGGTGTGTTTTTGGGTGCTTGTGGAACTTCCCTGTGGGGACTGATCTGGAGCAGGTCTACCTGTAGCAGTTCCCTGAGGAGTGGAATTATTCAGCCAAATGTCCTCATGGACAGCGAGCTAATGTGTCATGGAAGAATAATCTAGCAAATGAGAGTTTTAGAGGGGGAAAAATTGAACCAAAAAGTTTCTACTTAGAGCTTTCTCGAAGCAGTCCCAAGTACAAACACAATTCCACTTGGACGAGCAGCCTGGCCAACGCTCCTGTGGCCTCTTTGTTGGAGCAGGGTCTGGCAGGAAGGAGGGTTGATTCTCTCTCTCTTGAGGGGTGGCAGTAGGATCTGAAGAAGTCAGAGATCTCTTCCTGTGTACTGGCAGTATGTGAATATTCTGTATTTAGTTATTGTTAAACTTCCTAAGGATATGTTCTCTCCAGGCAGTGTGGTGAGCTGCACTAACATTTGGCTCACTCAGCTGTTTCTCCTCCAGCCAGTGTGCCCTGGGTGGAGCTCTGTAGTTGTTAGTAAGTTGTTAAATTTCTATGATAACCACTGCAGTCCCGTCCACATTCTTCCCTTTCCCCCAAATGTGCTCTAAGGACAAAATTTTATATGGTGCTGTGAACATGGGAGTCAGCAAGCCCCAGACTTCCTCATCACAGGTGGTCACACTCACGGGAAACCCAGCTACCAGCATGACCGTGACGGGAAGCGACCCATCTGTTCCATGGAACAGCCCAGTCCTCCCAGCAGGCACGTGCTAGCTGTAGTTCCAAGACGAGCCCTTGCGGCAGTGTGATATACACCTCAGGAGAGTGCCGCCAGACATCTTTTCTTTGTAACTAGTGTAATCATGTTCTGTAGAAGGAAATGGACGACCCAGAGCAGTTTTTGTCGATCAGGTCTGCACAGTAATTCCTCACTGTAAATCGCTTTCCTAACAACTAGCACATGTTCAGAATGGCATTCTTAAAGCTTCTGGCCACTGAGTACCAGGATGAGGAAGAGACTGGGGATAGGAACCTATCTTGTACTGTTCAGATGCGTGCGTGCGAGTAAGAGTGTGTGTGTGTGTGTGTGTGTGTGTGTGTTTTAAACACATTTCTATTACTTTAGGGCTATGGAAGTAAGTGGAGAAGAGCCTACCTTTTAAAAGGACACAAAAATAAATAGTGACAGTATCTTTGTTAGCCTTACTAATGGATATTGATTCAAAACAAAACCTCAGTACTGCATCCTTGTGTTGGGATCATATCAAGACAACATGGCGGTTCTATATGGTAGAACTAAAGCACTCAGTCTATTAGGACAACATCGTAGAGGGACTAAAATATTTAAGACAGGCAGTTGACACAAGTAATGAGGAAAGGAAAGGAGCTTAGACATATCACATTCCAGAATGATCTGCACTAAAAGTCGACTGGTGTTCAGAAATAAGATGGAAAGGTTTTGTTTCTGCTTAAATTTTTGTTATATCACCTGAAAAAAAAGGTTTTCTTTTAAAAGAAAGATGTTTCCTAGATTCTGCAAAATGTATCTTACTAATATAGTTTAGAAGAAAATTTGAATAGTGGCAACTTTGAAACCAGAGCATTAAATGTTAAATTTCACATAGTGACTTTAATTGAGTTTATGGTTCAGCTCATACGAAGGTGCTATCTTGGGAATTTTATTAAGTCCTCGAAGGAAAATAAACTATCGATTCCTTGTCCTGTGGAAGAATGCTAAGCTGTGGATTCGTTTTCCTGTAACTTCTGTAAAATGTGACTTTCTAATGCCTGCAGTAGATCAAACAGAGTGTCAAAACTGCTGATAATACCCGTATTTTCAAACCGTTTTTATTTTGAGAAAACTCTGTTCCCTAGAGGACATCAAGTTGCTGTAGTGCCTCCCAAGGGGTCAGGTCAATGTAAATCAAAAAGTGTCTATTGAAGGAAGAATGGGACTGAGGAATCTTAGCAAAGGAAAAGAGAGCATTTCAGCGCAGCTTGCTCTCCACCTGAGTCTCTCGTTTTTCTCTTTAGAAACATATATGCCATGCTGGTTTTGTCTCTGTCATATGCTAGGTAGCAAATGGGGTGATATTTTTTTATAGAGGTGGGCAAAAATTATTTTCTCAATTTTTTTACTGATGAGGCACACGAGGAAACTACAGATAGGTTTATAGTTATTGCCTTATTTTGACTACATTTCTCTTAAATGGGTCATTTAAAGTAGTTCTTCAAGTAACAGTTTACTGGTCTTTCCATTCCTGAATACTCAAGCTAATTTGTACAAATAGGGACTACGAAATACAGAATATTAGAAAAGATCCTTATATTTAGTTCTAGTATGTATGTGGTAAGGAAATGCCAATTCTTCATTGTAAACATTTTTTGAATTGCCCTTTCTTAGTCTTAAGTGATAGCAGTACCCATAGCATTAGGGAGAACCGAATCATTACACTGCAAATGTATTCACTTTGTATGTCCTGGTTCTGTCGTGCTTCCTAGAAGATAGAAGCAAAAAATCTTGTTCTTGTTTTAGAATGTTTCACTTTGTTCTCCCCCTAAAGAATTCTGTTAGTATGGGGTCAGCAGGTGGTGTGGGGCTCAACATTGCTGGACTACCACATGGCTGACAGCGGTTCAAATCCCAGACCTGGTGGCTTGAAGATCATGCCAGGTGTATGTGCGTGCATGCCCAAAATCCTGAGAGGAGAGTGAAGGAGAAGGGATTGTGGCATGGCTCTCCCACTGAGGGGCGATTTCTCACTTTCCCTCTCTCCATTTCCCTCTGTCTGTCTCTGACAAGCGCACATACCCTCTGGCACAAAACCTAAGAAAAAAAATTTTTTAATAAATGAAAAAGAATTCTGTTAGTATCTACCTTTTTAAACTGTTGAAACTGACCCAAGTATGTGATAAATACCATGGGCACTCAGACCCAAGGAACTATTTTCTAAATTCAGTTTTCAAGAAAGTACTTTCTACTTCTTGTATAGATCTAGTATCTCCTGAAATGTAAGAAACCAGTTCCTATTAATGATAAGCCATCTGCTCGTTACAAATGTGAGGTTTAACAAATAAGTAATACATGCTATATTTATTCCAGTGTCTATTGCTTAATTGTTAATTGTGAGCAGATTATTGAATGCCTCCTCTTTTCTGCAGTTTACAGTAACTTCACGTAATTGATTTGTGCAACAGATTTATATTAGAGTACAGTTTCAAGCCTCTTAGACTTTTTTGACTGGGGAAGCAAAGAGTAATGTTATTTAGTACATTTTGTTCTCGTACTGGCTGTGTTTCTATAAGATATGGTACCCTGTGTATCCCAGAGAGGCTAGAGAACTTTGTTCTTTGCTCCTATTTGTGGGTCCTGTTTTTGTGTTTTTTTGAGAATATGCATACAATAAAATATTATTTGTTACATTGCTCAGTTTAGCTTTCGTGTTTGTCTGGACGTGGGGCAGTGATGGTAGCCACCATTTATTAATATTTCACACGCACTGCGTGCCAGATGCTTTATTTATGTTATCTTACTCAATTCTGGCAACACTTTTGCATGGCATTATTTTCCCCATTTTACAGATGAGAAAAGCAAGAAGTCTTATTTGTCTGTCTATCCATCTGAAGAACTCCCCTGCCTTAAGGGGTTAGCGTGTCATCAGTGTTGTATGTCAGGAGGTGGGTATCATTGCCTCTGTTGAAGTTGAGCAGGGGAAAGGTTCAAGAATCTCAGTGGACTGCAGGTGTCAAACAGACTGCCTGCATGGAGCTCTGCAGAAATAGCTCCTCCCTGCTCTGCTTTCCTACGACAGCAGCTCGGTTTTCTGAGTCAACACCCAGGAGAACTGACTGATTTAGAAACTAGAATGGCAGTTTATTGCGGGTTTGCAAAAGAAAGAGAGCTTGCTTCTCTCTCATCCTCAAATAATATTTTTATTCTCAGAGAAAGGAAAATAAAGAGATACTACCAAAAAGCATGCAAGGAGATGTTTTCTTAAACCCTGTGACCTACCACCCAGAGAAAAATGCCATTAAACTTACATTGTGTATCTTTTTGATGTTTTTTTTTTTAATGTGCTCTACCTGCATAAGACATACTTAGAGATATACATTTTAATGGGACCATACTTCTTTTCCCACTTGATACACTGTGGATAGTTTGCCCATGTCAAAAAGAGAGAACCCCCCATGTGGGTGTTTTGAATTGCTCTATGGCTGCAGCAGACCCTATTGGTTACAGGCCCTCTGGGAGGGCAGGGCTCCAGCCCTTGGAGCTTAGGCAAGGCCGGGGACTGACTTCTGCAAATGAAGTGTGGGCGGTCATACTCAGTGATAGGGAGAGGCTCACTACCCCCGGTTTCCCCATGGAGGTCATAGAAAGCGTGTGTGGATGGTGAAGCCTGGCCCAGCCATCCATGGAGACCACTGCCCAGACTAGCCTGGACAGCAATATTCTGTTGTTCTATGTGGCTAACCCATCATTTATTTCACCAGTCCCAAGTTAAAATTAGGTTATATATGTTTAGAGTATTATAATTTTAATTAAACCACTAAATATTTAAACACACTAGGCTCAGTATGTTTGTATGTTCATCTTTGTTCACATTTCCAATTATTTTCTATAAAGTGGGAATCGCTAGGTCAAAGGACAGGCATATTGTAACTCTTTAGTTTTTGTTAATGTTTTCATACTACTCTTGAATTTGTTTCTTTGAATAGGCAGCAAGAAGGAAAAGGATATCTCAGTGTTTGATTCATGGATTTGCAGTTCATTTACAATGAAAATTAAATCAGTTTCCCAAGTGGAAAACTGAATGTTCTGTGTCTGACCTCCAAGCTAATGCTCATCTTTCTAGTATTCTTTTTTCATACTCAAAGAAATTGTACATCCTGAATTTGACATTCTGAAGAAAGATACAGCAGGGAGAATTTCTTTACACCATTAGAAGGATAGTATGTTTTTGTACATCAGCATATTTCCTCAGACCCTGGAGTTCAAGGTCAAGAGATATGTTGGAACTCTAGACATCATTGTGCTTTTCTTCTAGAATGAAGAATCAATGGTGGCATTGATCGATGGCTTTTGTAATGACCTTTGTAATGCCAGTTTTATTACAGACCAGTCATTCATTTCCCATATTCTCTAAAGCACAATGAGTCTTAATCACTGTTTTATGAAGCTCTACTATTTTTAAGTGATTTTGAAACTGTTAAAAAATTCGTTCTAGAAAGTAAATTTCATTTTATATGAAATAAGTGGACATTAATGTATAGTAAAGAATTTGGAGAGTGTTCCCAAATCAAGCTAATGGATTTGAAAGAACTTCGGGGGGCCGGCAGGTAGCATGGTGGTTAAAAGGCGCTGGGGTTTCCACATGTCTGAGCACAGTTCCAGTCCTGGACCTGGTGGCTTGCATTCTCACTTTCCCTTTCTCTCTCTCTGGTCAAATTAAAAAATAATAATGACAAATGGAATTAATTAAGTAAATCTAAAAAAGAAAGAACTGGGAATCATTAGAATGGCAGTTTATTGTGGCTGTTAAATCCAAGATACTTGTTCTCCATCACACAAGACCTCAGGCTCAATCCTTGAAGTCTTTTACCCTTTGATTAAAGACTGGTGGCCTTGTGGTTAAGAAATTTGGATCCCACTTGGCTAACTAAGCAGTTTGAATACCTGCCCTGGTGGCTTAATAACACACTGGGACATGTGTATGCATGCCCCAAAATTCCAACAAGGTGGAGAAGTGGAGGCAAAAGGATTCTATCATGGGGTGTGGTCTCTTTCTCTCTGTCTCTTCTGGGTAAGTGCTCATACCCTGTAGCAAAATTTTATGAAAAGAAGATGCGCCATTAGGCTAAATATGTAAGAAGTTCTGTTGTGCACTCTTACGCCGTTAGAGAATAACTATTGTAAGTAGGAACATCTGGTTGAATAAACTCACTGCGGTATTAAAAAGAGGAAGAAAGGGTGAGGAGAAAGAGAGCATATGGTCAAGCAGAAATTTGCTTGTTTCTGGGTTTACTTTATAAGAAGAAATAATCCTTTACTGATTTGGGAACTTTATTTTCTAAGATATTCATGTACTTTCCTATTTCTTACATTGTATTGTCAGGTGTGACATTTAATGTCGTGTTACCAGAGTCATTTTAACTGTTAATCTATCAAGTGGTTGAACCCCAAGTTGCAAATGCATGCTGAAAACATGCAGTCTTGCAGACACCAATCTGAGAGCAGGCCTATTGGCTCTACTTTCAATTAAAATATGTCCTAGTAACAGCAGTTCTC